CATTTCCGTCGCTACATGGTCAAAATGCATATTCCGTCGCTAAAACCGTCGTCCGAACTAGCGACGGAAAATTTCCGTCGTAATTTCCGTCGCCACTTCCGTCGTGGACTAGCGACGAAATCAAAAATCCGTCGTTACATTTATTACTAACGAAAAAATAACGACAGAATAGATTTCTTCGTTATTTCCGTTGTTAAGAAGTTTACCTACGGAAATAAGGCTTTGGCGACGGAATAATTCCGTTGCCATTTAAGCAGTTTTTTGTAGTGCATTATGATAAATCTACGGGTACGATGAGGCCAATAATGGGCAAGAACCAGGTAAATTGTGCAATGAACTGTACTTGTGCAATGTATGACATGTATATGATATCTTGTAATTGTTATGAATTGTGGATTTTCTTGTTTGTTTTACTTGAACGTTAGATATTTATCACTAAGCGTCATTGCTAACTATGTAGTGTATTTGTTTGCTACACGCAGGAACTCAAGATCAGGATGGACTTAGAACCGATCCCATAGGATAGTGAAGACGAAGAGATGTGCGATGACCTTTCTGATAGTTTGAACTGTTATTTATCTTTGAACAATCTATTACATTTTCACGTACGAGTTCCAAGTTGTGTTTGGTTTGATTATTAAGCTTCTGCGTTGTTTGGTTTTACTCCGATGATGGATTTTGAAAATGGTGTTTTGATTTGAATGTTTTAAATTGTTTGAAAATGTTATGTGTTTGAATACCAATTTTGTAGCAACCCGATTTGCTGCCCCATGTATTCAGGTCATGCTAGTTGGGATGTTAGAGTCATGTTTATGTTTGGTTTTTATTATGTTGAAGTGGATAACACATAGATGTGTGTGAGTTTTGTTTTTGAATTAAAGATTTGAGAAATATATAATTATTAAAAGTTTGTTTCAATTTATTCTTTTTATTTATTACTTATTTTTATTCGAATCAGAACATATAAGATCAAAACTTAATCGAATCACATCATAATCAATCAGATAAGTTGAAGAAAGTAAACCCTAAGTATTTAGTTTATGCATAACTTAAACTCTAGTATAATATATATATATATATATATATATATATATATATATGTTATTTTATTTATCAAAAATACTCCACAGTAATTATACTAATGTAAAAAAAGACAAAATCACACAAGTAGGAAAATGCTTTATACTCGTAAGAGAGCAAAAAGGATAAACATGTGTTAGAAAGTGTAAAAATAAGGATAGTGCTATTTGTACCCCAAGAATTTGTACCCCATTTTGTACACCGCAGGGATGCACCAACATTTTGTGTTGGTATAATGCTAATTTTTATTAACGCACCAACACTTTGTGTCAGTGTAAATTTTTGGTAACGCACCAACACTCTGTGTCAGTGTGAACCATCAAAATGTTGGTGCATACCTTTGGTGTACAAATGAGATACAAGTGTTGGGGTATGATGGGAAATAATACGTGACTCGGTCCACATTTCCCAATTATTTACGAAGAATAACCAAACTGGGCATGTTTAGTAAAATGAAGGAGTAAGAAAATATTTCTCCGAAGATACTCCCCCTCTCTCTTATAAAAGGAGAGGTATTCTACCAAGAAGGGAGGCCTAATTCATCCCTTCTCCCTGCCCAATTCCTCTCTCTCTAGAATATTTTTCCATTTTATTTCTTCAAGAGCTCAAAAGCTCCATTAATGGCTTGCTAGCCTAAATTATGTATCGTGTACAACCCCCGATATTAATAAAAATCCCTCGTTGGCAAGGTACCGCCAAAAAAGGCCTGTGGTTTTCTCCCAATTTGGGTTTCCACGTCAAAATTCCTATTTTTATATTTTGATGTATTTTTTAGAATAGTTTATCGTTTTTGCCCGGCTAAAAACGATATACCGGTCGATAATTTACACCATCATTTTTGGCGCCACCTGTGGGACCTGAACGAAAAGCCATGATTTTGTTTTTTTAGTTTCTTCATCCATCAATGCCATTCCTGAGAGCCACCGGCATCATGCCACCGAGGTGCGGCCAGGAGGAAGAATTACGGTGACCGATGTTCAAAATCGAAGAACGAGTCATCGTTGCTCGATGTAGAAACTGCCGGCGGTCGATGCGGTGTCGTGGATGACCACGGAACCACCTAAACATTATCCAAATCCACCTCTTATTTCTCCTCCTCGGCCTCCATTTCCGCATCATCACCTTCCTCCTCCTCTTGATCTTCCTCGCCATTATCGTCCTCGCACTCATCTCTCGCCTCACTGCCGCTTATACCTCCCTTGTGAGAACATCTCTCGCACGATGAAATAGTAGATCTGAGATTGGAACCGGTAGTTGTCCACGGCATCAAGGACAGTCAACCATGGAAGAGCAGGCGGCAGGAGTGCCGCACCACCAAAAAGTTGGCCGAGTGGACCTAGGCATCGCAGCTCCAACACAGATTCTCTTGATCGGACTTGCAATAGAGCAATTTCGTGTCTTTGCTCCGCGCGCAGATCTTCATCTTCTCCGTATGCTACAGTGAAATGTCCATTACCACCATCACTGAGGTCTGTCATCACCGTCACAACTGCCCGTGGCGTCATCGATTGACCCCCATGTGCGAGCTCTATTATTGGGATTTTCTCCTCCATCAAAATTAAGGGAAGATTAGACAAAAAGATTGGATGGAACAGCCGAACAGGGCATGCATGTGCGAACATCGAAAAAAGAAACAGGGGGAAAGGGAGTTGTAAAAGCGCCTGTACAAAAGGGAAAGAGGCAATAACTTAAAGACAAGAAAAAAGGGATACCAATAATCAGGACATTGAGGAGGAAACAAATATGACAGCTCTACTTTCATTAACTCCTTTTGGAAGGGAGCCCACTACTGTCAAATTGAAGTGTGTACATTGCACAAGACCACTGAACAAATTAGTGGATGGTCTGTAGCTATCCGATGGTGTGTTGGGTTTTCAACATATCTCAAGGGAAGACTGAGACACAGGCCCAGACCTGGGACGCTGGTTACTACACCCGTATAAGGGGTATGCCTGCAAGAAGGCTAGACCTGGAAGAGAGTTCGAACCGTACTTACACGAACTCATGAAGTTTGACCGGTATTGGGGAGTCAGCCAAAACAGTCAAACTAATTGGGAACTAAAAGATGCTCATTAAAAGAAATAGAAAAGGATCATTCTTTGTAATGCATCCTACTCCGATCGGGTTGGATTCCCCCTTCTCAGGGAAGACTTGAACAGGAGGGTAAGCTAAGGCCTTCCCGGGATAGTAAACATCAAAGGGCCATTAAAAGACTTAATCACCCGGAAGAGGGGCCCCTGGAAGAAGGGTACATTTGAGCCTTGGAGAGGGCTCAAAATCATCCGACATGGTTAATTCTCCAATGTTGATCTGGCCCGGCCAGCAGCATTATCTTAGAGGAAGACCGAGATACAGGCCTGGCACACTGGTTACTACACCGCTCTTGCTAGTATAATAAAGAAAATATGTGACCGAATCAAACTGGTACACTGGTCTCACACCGGTCTTGCACATATTTTCCAACGAGCTTGAGCCCAATCGAATTGGGTACACCGATCGCACATCGGTTTTAGCAAAAAAGTGAGCTGAGCTCATATCGTGGATGCCCGATTCATTTTAAGCCCTCTATCTGAGGCACTTTTATCGAAGTTGGTCTCCGCGAGACATGAAGATATTTACATCAGTCAGCTGGGCTAACATTGATCTTAAACAAAGCTACCGCATCGTATTCAATTCTTATTAACTAACGTTGTTGTCATCAGTTTACTAATTTCGTCACGCATCGTTTCTTGACTCGTATTAACACAGGCCTCGATGAAATAACTTTTTGAAGCACCGTTGCTTCATCGAATTAACATCGCTCTCGTAACGATAGTTATCCGCGCTTAATTTAATCACCTAACACCGAGCTCCTCGATAAAGATAATAATTATTTGAGCACGACATAAGCCGGTCAAAAAAAGTTGTACGTATTATTTTTTGCAGGAAAACATCTCATTCAAAAAATTAAGACTCGGAGGACTAGCAATATCAACCGGTCAAAAATGCAAAGTACGAAGACTGAAGATAACACTCGGAGGACTGATTTACTTTCTTAAGTTGATGATTCTCACAACTTAAAAAAGTGGCAGACTTCTTTATGAGAAATATTATGTGGCTCAGTCCACATTTCCCAATTATTTACGAAGAATAATCAAACCAGGCATGTTTAGTAAATTGAAGGAGTAAGAGAATATTCCTCCGAAGATGTCCCCCCTCCCTCCTATAAAAGGAGAGGTATTCCACCAAGAAGGGGGGGGGGGGGAATTCATCCCTTCTCCCTGCCCAATTCCTCTCTCTCTAGAATATTTTTCCATTTTATTTCTTCAAGAGCTCAAAATCATGTACCGTGTACACACCCCCGATATAAATAAAATTCCCCCGTTGGCAAGGTACCGCCAAAAAAGGCCTGTGGTTTTCTCCCGATTTGGGTTTCCACGTTAAAATTCTCGTGTTTATATTTTGGTGTATTTTTTAGACTAGTTTATCATTTTATCCGGCTAAAAATGATATATCAGTTGATAATTTATACCATCAGGGTACATGTATCATGCTCCTAAAAATAAACTAAGCTCCTAAATAATTATATGAGGCAAAACTACCAAAATTGTGAGCTCAGCTGTCCCATGATTACAAGTGTGAGGTGCCAATCCAAAAAATGAGACACTATACTATGCCAAAGTGTAGGTGCAAACCTGCGGGGTACAAAAGTTGGGGTACACGGTACATGATTTTGGAATACAAAAATGTACCCCAACTTTTGTACCCCGCAGGTTTGCACCGACACTTTGTGTTGGTGTAAAACTAATTTTTGTTAATGCACCAACACTTTGTGTCCGTGTAAATTTTTGTTAACGCACAAACACTTGTGTCAGTGTAAACCATCAAAATATTTGTGTATAACTGCGGTGTACAAATGAGGTATAATTTGTGGTGTAAGTATAGCATGATCCTCTTATTGTATATTAGCTTTTGTTAGTTTTTTTGGGGAATTTTCTGTATACATTCTGTACTTTCACCGGTAGCAAACATCACGTATCCGCACAACTAGAGAGCAGTTCCACAGGATACATGGGAATGGGGAAGGAGGAAGGCGAAACTGCACCGGAGCCAAGCGAGCACTCTCTTTCTTCGCCGTCTCTGTTTCCGGGATTCTCTCAGTTCTCGAAACCTGACGCCGCCGATCCTGGCTGGCTTTGTAATTCCAGCTTCACGACTGACCTATCCGTCATAAACGACGCTTTGACGGCGCACTACAGTCACGGCCAATCCCAGCACGGAGACAATTCGGTGGAAGTTGAAGAAGAGGAAGGGAAGGAAGTTGCCAATGGAGCTAATAAAGAGAGAACACAATACGAGTTGGTGGGCTCCCCAGCATCAGATTGCAGCCTATCGTCTTCTTCTCCTTCGGGAGAAGGGAGGGACATCCCAAGAAATAGGCGGTTAAATAAAAGGAAGCGGAGCAGAAGTAAGCGTTCAGGTGATGCGCGTCCAGCACATGAGTTTGAGCTTTTTCCTCGTAGAAAATCGGGTGTGGGAGTCTGGGCATCGTCTTCTGCTGCTGAGATCACTAATGTCAAAGACTATTACATGGACTCGCGCGGAGATCGTGATAATTTGGCCTTTGGATGCCTATACAAGTACTTATTTTCACATGGCCTTTCACCATTTAATTCTAATCGAGATGTTTGTGATTGTGAAATGGGTTTATCATATTCTTATTTTTTACCACAGACTGTATGCAGTTCTTGTGATATACTGATATTTGTTACGGAGGTATAAATATTCTGCTCCAAATTCTTGTGCTATTTGTCGAATGGATGTTATTGCAAATTATTCCTCTTACATTCTCTTTTTTATGTGCTGAAGTTGTTCTATGCGCTGAAGTTGGTTCATGTGCTTCACATTGTTATTGGTGTGAGATCCATTTGTGGTCTTGCCCAGGTTTGAACATCGAAGTAGATTCTAGTTCTCTGTGTGGATCTAGTGAATGAAGCTAGGATCATATGAAGAATAACACATGATTTGTTTCTAATTTTATTCTTTCTCATGTTTCATTATTTGAGATTAAGGAAATAGTTGTCTTAGCTTATAAAAAGTCAATTGATGGGGGTAATGGTTTTGCAACTGTATGAATTAATGGATTTATGTTTGTATGCATGCATTGATGCGTGTGTGTATGAGTTTTCAATAGAGATAGTTTCATAGATCAATACTATTTTTAAAAATAAAAATTAGACGCTCACAAATTTAGATTTATTTTAGTGCAAGGCTTAATTGCAGAATGGTTATAACCATTAGGGCACACATTTATTCAGCACTCTGCCGATTGGGCATTGTAAGCTTATGTAATGTAACCATATTTTTACTTTCCCCCTCTTTGAAGGTTTTGACTTCAAATCAAAACCACAATTTTGATTCAAAGTAATCTCTTTTCCTGTTTTCTCCCTGGATGCTTGGTCAAACTTGCTCATTCAATGAATTAGTAAAAGAGAACTCCGGATAATTTTGTTTGCTTTGTAGTGCCTCTGCTAATTAATTTTACTGTCTAATTTACTAAGAAAATTGACTTTGACATAGGAAATTAATTTGTGATAGTGCAGAATGGATGTTCCCTGTTACAAGTTTCACAATGCTAGGAAGACATTTGAGAGTAATTATTATCAGAGTATCTGCAAGAGCATTTTTTATCTGGACAATGATGTTGATGCATTGGACAGCAAACTTAGAGCTGAGGGTCGCTACTGGTCTGCAAAGTGTGCTGCGCTGGAGCGCCATAAGAACTTGAAGCGAACTCGAATTATTGCTCGCGCTAGGCCCCCGACACAGCACTCGGCTGATTTCAATTTCATTCCTCTGTGCGACGAAGAATCTGTAGGTGAATCAATATCAGGGTCTTCTGTGTTGAATGAATCACATGAAGATGAGATTTTTCGCAAGACAAAAGAGTTCAATAAGATGACAAGAGATCGACCACACGATGATAAAGTTTGGTTGGATTTTGCAGATTTCCAGGATAAGGTTGCCAGTATGCAGCAAAACAAACTTGCTCGTCTGCAAGTACTTGAGAAGAAAATAAGTATTCTGGAGAAGGCTACTGAACTTAATCCAGGCAGTGAAGACCTGCTTCTCTCTCTTATGAATGCTTATCAGAGAAGAGATAGTACGGATGTCTTGATAGGTCGGTGGGAGAGGATTCTTCTGCAAAACTCTGATAGTTACGTGCTGTGGAGACAATTTTTGTGGGTTGTTCAGAGCGATTTTTCTAGATTTAAGGTGTCAGAAATGAGAAAAATTTATGCAAATGCAATACAAGCCTTATCTGGTGCATGCAGTATGCAGCATAGGCAGGTCTCACCTTGACATATTCATTTTTCTTCAGTGTTTCTGATCATAGGACGTGCATATATTTAAGTTCTATTTGTTTTCAGTTTTAATTTATTTTTCATCTTTTAACTATCAGAATTCAGAAATTGCATTCATAAAGACACTGTTAATGTTTAGTTAGTCACCTTGTTTAGTTTCACTTTTCATAGTCATTACTGCCAAGTTTTTATCAATCCAAATAAGGTGCTATCTAAAACAACTGTGAATTGCTGGGGCATGAGGAGGAAAATGTTGGGCTTTCCATTATTCAAAGAAAGCTTTTATGTTAATGGCCAGATTTTGGACAAAGTAATGGCTTTAGCAGTACTGACAAGGTTGACTCAGGCCATATTCTTTAAACTTATGTGCTTAAAACCTGATATGCATATACTGTACTTTCCTCTAGTGAGATCACCTACTTTTATCTAATTTTCATAATTGTATGCTTTGTTGTGTACTTGTGTTTAATGAGATTCCACCCTGTTTCCTTGATACAGTTCTCTCAAGGTTCTACGTCAGCTTCTCTTGATCCAGCTATTCTAAAACTAGAAATGGGATTAGTTGACATATTTGTGTGTCTTTGCCGGTTTGAATGGCAAGCGGGGTACAAAGAGTTGGCCACTGCCTTGTTTCAGGCAGAGATTGAATACAGCTTGTTCTCTCCATCTTTACTTCTCAGTAAACATAGTAAACAAAGACTTTTTGAACACTTTTGGAGTAGCAGTGGCACAAGAGTTGGGGAAGATAATGCACTTGGCTGGTCAACATGGTTAGAGAAGGAGGAGGAACATAGACAGAGGGCATCAAATGAGCAATCTTCATGTGAAGTTGATGAAGGTGGCTGGACGGGTTGGTCGGAACCACTATTAAATTTGAAAGATGTTAGTGATGCAACTGAAAAGTTGACAGACAGTGATGGAGTTCTCGAGGAGTTAGATGATGGGGCCCAAAATGGTATAAAAGATGATACTGAAGCTTTGTTGAAAATGCTTGGAATTGATGCTACTGTGGAAGCAAATTGTGAGGTCAAAGACACAGGGACATGGGCTAGGTGGTCAGAAGAAGAGGTAGAAAGGGAGTCAGATCAGTGGATGCCTATTCGTGCAAATTGTGGTCAGTATCTCTACCTAGTCTCAGTGTGAATATCACAGGATTTTCCCTTTTTGTCTGTGACTCCTTTTTGATGGTATTGTCTATCTTCCAAAAGTAATTATCTATGAAATATGGATGTGATACAGCTGAAATTTCTAACAGCAAATAACCATTTGATGCAGCAAGTGATGACCAACTTTTGAGAGTAATAGCATATGAGGACGTGAATGATTATTTATTCTCAATATATTCAAATGAAGCACGATTGTCTTTGGTATCACAATTTATTGATTTCTATGGAGGGAGGATTGCTGAATGGTACACATTGTTACATCATATATTCTGTTTCTTACGCGGGCTATTTTTAGTGTTTTTTAAATTTATTGTGTTATCTTGTCAGTTCCTGGTCACATGCCTTAAAAATAATGCACGAATCCATTTCAAATGTAAAAATTATTGGAGATGATTTATGGTTCACATTTGCATGTATCATAGCTCAAGAACAACAACTTAGTATGTCCCAACTCCGTTGGGGTCTGCGGGGAGCGGGGTCAAGATTTATACACTCCAATCGCTATAAAAAGAGATAGGCTGTTTCCGTTAGACAGTAGTCGCTAGATGCCTTGTTGCATTTACTACCCAAAACTTCATAAAGAGTAACAAGCTAGGGAAGTTTAATGTATCTTTTCTATTTAGTCCATTATGTGCTTGAAACTAAATCATTGTCAATGATGACTCTTTTAGCTCCATTGCATGTATTATAGCTTAAAAGAGTGTAAAACCTAATTGAGTTATGGACATCCAGTTATTATAAAAATTGTTCTTTGAAGCTAGGGATTATTTGAATATATTGAAAGGGTTTAGGGAAATGCATTCTCTTGGTTATATGGTTCGTATTCATATAAAACTTAGGGCTGCATAGTTTCTAAAGATTATTACAATGCATGTATAAAAATAATGGGCCTAAATTCTAAAATCAATAGCAAGAGGAAACCATAGTTTTTCTAGAAGTAGTACTTACTACACACACACACTACTATCTATACCACAACAACAACAACAATGATTACAAGTTTGTTGGGGTCTAGACTGCCAAGATGTATGCAACCTTATCCCTTTTAAAAAAACATAATGGTTATTTCAGTTAGATCCTTCATGCATTGTTGCATTTAGCATCCAGAACTTCATAGAAAGTAAGAAACAAAAGGGAAGTTCAATGTGTCATTTTAATTTAGTCAACTATTTAACCGAAAGATGAAGATGGCCAAAACAATTTTTTAGCTCCATTGGAAATGGACGCATCTATAGTCCAACACCCTTTGAAGCTTCAGTATACGAAATTTTATCCTAGCGCAGTACAACAGCAACAACAACCCAGTTAGGTCCCACGAGAGTAGGGTCTAGGGAGGGTGTGTGTACGTAGACCTCGCCCTTACTCAAAAGTGAGAGGCTGTTTTCAAGAGACCCCCAACTCAAGTAGTACAAATAATATAAGATCACAGAGACACATAAAGCACATAATGCACAAAACACAAAGGGGAAAAGAATAAACTAATGTTAACAAAAGAAAAACACTGCAAGCAGAGAACACCAAGCATACAAAGCACACAATAACAAGTGTAAAAACTACCACCTAGCCCAACAAGCTAATCCTAGCTTTCTAAGAACTCCTATTCCTCAGTAAGTAGGTTTTGTGTAATCACCTCCTTCGAGTTCTTCTTAGGTCTACCCATTCCCTAGTCCCACCCACCAATGTAAGCCTCTCGCATCTCCACATCGGGCATCGTCTCACATCCCTAAACCACCTCAACCTAGCTTCCCGTAGCTTATCTTCCAAAGGTGCTATGCATAGTTGTCATAGGATAACCTCGATTTTAAATCTTATCCATCCTCGTTTTCCCACTCATTCACTGCAGCATGTGCATCCCCGCAACATGCAATTGACGAATGTGGGTTTTCTTAACTACCCACTCTCCTCACTATACAACCTAGTCGGTCTAACTATGAACTGGTAGAACTTACCTTTCTTTCTAGCAAAAATCTTTTTTATCGCATAAAACTTTGAAGCCAACCTCCACTTAGCTCAAGCCACTCCAACACGATGCACAACATCCCCGTCCAACTCCCCATCCGCCTAATGACCAAGCCAAGATGCCCAAACTTGTCTACCTTGGGCACTAGGTGAGAATCAATCTTAACTTCCACCCCTGATTTCGTCTCCTGGCCACTAAAACCACACTCCATATATTCAGTCTTGGTCCTACTCAGTTTGAATTCACGGAAAGGAACCAAAGTTCCAACACGTTTACTCCCCTGCGGGTGTCATCAAGAAGCACATCATCGGCAAAAAGCATGCACCACAGGACCTTCCTTTGAACTCCTTGCGGTAGGACATCCATCACTAGAGCAAACAAAAATAGGCTAAGGGTAGACCCTTGGTGTAATCCCACCTCTATTGACAAAGCCCAACCTTTATCTTAGTCCTTGCCCCATTGTACATATCTCTGACTGCACGAACACGTGCGATCAAAACTCCTCTCGACTTAAGGCACCTCTCCAAATGACCTCACTTGGCACCTTGTCGTATGCCTTTTCCAGGTCAATAAACACAATGTGCAGGTCCTTCATCTTAGCCATATACTCTTCCATTAATTTCCATGAGGTGAATGACCTTTGTGTTCGATATGCCAGGCATGAAACCAAACTGGTACTCGGGAATGCACACCCCATTCTGCACCCTATAATCAATGGTACGTTCCTGAACTTTCATGGTGTGACTAAGTAGTTTGATGTCTCTGTAGTTAGTGCAACTCTGAATGTCACTCTTACAATTAAACAAAAGGACCAACACACTCTCCATCCACTAGTCTGTTATCCCAGCCGTCCTGAAAAATTGAAGAGCTTGGTTCTCGAAACAAGCCCACCGGACGCACATACTTCTAAAACTCCACCGAGATCTCATCTCGCAGATGGCCTGCTCACTAAGGCGCTGGCAATACCCAAAGTTTCGTTGCGACTAGGAGTGCCCTCAGTGTCCCAACTCAAGTAGTTCTAGCCTCGGATCTCATCCTGCATTCAGGAGGCCACAGAAGTACTCCCACCATCGTTTAGCCACCTCTATTGTCTCAACCATCACTCTACCATCGCTGCCCTTCATACATATTGTATAATCTTAGTCTGGTACATATTTGGAAATTCTTGAATCGGAACATCACTTGAACTTGACTCGGACTTTGTTGAGGGGTTATCGAAGGTATGGAGCAAGTCTATATTGATTGTCCAAGGTGGATCATTTTATGATGTCAGCACATAAGTCTCTAGCCTTGTCTCTCGTCGCTGCTTTTACTGGCGAGATATTCTATCCCCAATGGATTGCTCAAATTCATAATCATCTTTAGTGAACTTCTTTTGGAGTAAGTTATATTGCGTAAGTGGCTCCAAGTTTTCCTTTTCATCAGCGAACCACCCGTGGAGGCAATGGTCATATTATGGTAGTTAATTTGATCCCAAAGATGTGTTTACAACACTTGATGAGTGAGTATCTTTCGGAGTTTGGGTGCGACCGTGTGACAACACCAATCAGAGCCATCTACAACACTCGGGGCACCCTATTTTGCATCTTGTATGGCCGATACTTGACAACATTGCTTTCAAACACTCAAAAGTATGTGTAGTTGTAAGATGTCAAAAGTGAGCTTCTTAACCTTGACTTGCTCCTAGCAATTATGAAGGTGCACTTAGTACACACTTTGTTTCTAATGAAGCGGAAGTATGAAAAGGGCCACCACCACCTTGCATCTGCATGTAAGGATTGAACTTTGCTTCGACTTCACCTTTATCGACTGTGGCCCTTAAATTGTCGATATCACATGGTCGAGATCCTAGCTAGGTTTAGGGGGGGGATAGTAAATCGGGCATCGTAACACGGATCATAAGATCCTAAAGTAGTAGACTACTAGTAGCTACTATGTACTCCCTCAGTCCAAACGCGGCTGAAGATACTTTTCAAAGTGAACTTCAACAAAAATTAATAACGGGGTAACTTCAAGTGGTAATTATTCACGGATTATCATTGAAACTGTGGAATAGATGCTGAGAAGGCAGAGTAATCGAGATGACGACACAGAGTTGATGTTGTGAGTACTTCAAATATAAAGGGGCTTTGGGCGTACACATTCAAGGTTTGGAAGGCTTCTTATATGCATAAGAAGATAAGAAGAGAACAAACGGCAGGCCTTTTCCTCTTTCTTTTCTGCGTATTTTGTTGCTTGAATTAGTCCGCACAATAGTGCTGCGAGTACTTCAAATATAAAGAGGCTTTGGGCATACAACTTCAAGGTTTGGAAGTCTTATTCTTATATGCATAAGAACAGAACAATTGGTTGGCCTTTTCCTCTCTTTTTTCGTGCGTATAATTAATTTCAATAAATTTAAGCGAACACATCTTGATCAAGTTGATGAGGTTATGGAGTAAATAAGCATGCTCTACCTTATTTCTTAATTTGTTAGTAATGGATGAAGTGATGAACTCCTTTTTACTAAGATCCGTTTGGAAAGGAAGAAATATATTCTTACTCATTTACTTTCTCTGACCCCACTGATTTTGGGACAAGGGAGTGTGGCACACAAATTTAGGAAAAGTGGAATTCCGTGGATGATAATGAAATAATAAAAGTTCAATTGATTTAAGCCACATAAATCATACAGCTTATGGTATGAGAGACAGATTTAAACCCAAATCGAAAAAGGGTGAAAAGTAGTTGGGCAGAGGAGGTTATCTTTTTTGGGAAAATGATACCTTTTTCTATTAAAAAATTGTATTACATGTGAGTTTGTATATTGCTTGTACGTGTTGCTTGTATTTGGTACTTTATCTGTGTTATACTGTGTTCCCTTCCATATTTTTGTGCAGGTGGAGCCGAGGGTCTCTTGGAAACAGCCTCCCTACTTCCGAGTAGGGGCAAGGTCTGCGTACACACACCCTCCCCAGACCCTACTGTTGTGGGATTCACCTGGGTTGTTGTTGTTGTTGTTGTTGTTGATGTGAGTTTGTATATCTAAAGAGACAGGGAATAATTATTTCTTATGTATTAATGGGGGAGTAATTGCAAGGTATTTATAGGACAGTCTTACTCAACATGTTTATAACGGGGGAATATGCACTTCACAACTATTTTGGCTAAAAGTAAAAGAATCCTTGGCTGGTTCATTTTCTAAAAATACAATTTCACAAGGTAGTTCTGTATAAAATAATTACTCTAATGTAGTAAATATTTTTTATGTATACATAACAAATAGGTTTACAATTGCTATATCATACAAACACTGTATGGACTACAGAGTAATATTTACTAAATAAACAACCTCTAAATAAATCATGTATAACTTGAGAATAGTAGTTGTAAAAACAATACAACCAACTAGTAATAGTTAGGTGGTGGTAGCAATGATGATAGTGCATAGGCTGGTGGCTACGGCGGCATTAATAGTGATGAAGTGGTCGCTGTGGTGAGGTTGTGATGATGGCATGTTAATGGAATGTGTGGGGCTGCTAGTCACTCAGATCATGAAGGTAGGGCTAGTATTGGCAATGTTCCAGTAGTTGAAATGATGGTGCTATTGTGATAACACCATAGGTGGTTGGGTGTTTACAAAATGATTGGTAGCGGTAGGGATGACATTGGTTGATGACCACTCCAATTGATTAATTTTTCAATTTGAGTTTCATAGTCATTTTCCATCATTTGATTATTACTCCGTTTATGAGAAAAACAAAAAACCATCAGGAACATCTCAAATGGTTCCAGTCACACGTTAGAGGGAAAAGAATGCATTTTTTGAAGAAGGAAACAAGTTTTAATAGATGATAGCCTCATTTGACATTTACCCATTAATAACTATGAAAGAATTTGAAACATGATATGTAATTTTTTCCCATATTGTACCTTTTAGTTAAGAGTAATATTGCCATTAATATCTAACAAGTGTTATCCTTGCTCACTATACTTTCAGGACTTGCACTAATAGTTTTACTTGGGCAGAGAAGACTCTTAGTCTGGAGGCATTGACAGATCCTCTTTTAGATGAACTGAGAAGGATCTATGAACTTTTTGCGAAAAGTGAGATGCACCCAGTTGGCACACGTTTGGAAAACATTTTGAGCAGTGCTAATGAGATATCAATGCGCACCAATATGGTGGAATTTGTCCGTAATGCTGCTTTGCTTTGCATGACTGTATTCCCTCAAAATTTCATCCTTGAAGAAGCTGCTCTTGTTGCTGAGGAAGTATCAAATACCCCGTTAAATTCATCTCGCAGTTCAGTAACCCCTTGTCGAGTGCTTGCAAAGAGTCTATTAAAAAACAACCGCCAGGTATAGATTTTAACGTGTCCTCATATTTAAATCACTTCTGGTTTCATGGACTGATGAGGAATACATGTATGAAGCCTACGATGTTGATGGGGAATAAAATTACAAATTAATTTCACTTTTCATGCTTTGATTATTGAAATATTTATTCGGTGAATTTAGGAAAAAATATCTGTATTTCATATTTTTTTAGACTAAAGGATTTGGAAATACAACCTATAGAACAGATCCTGTTCAAGTAAGGTCGTATCTGTATTTCATACCTAACAAAGAAGTAGAATACAAGAATTTAAAGACTAGAACTTTTGAAAGTCAATATATGACATCATGGGTGACATCAAGTGTGCTTACCTCATGGTTGACCTCAATGCCTTCTAGACCGACCCTATTTTAATTTTTTTTCTAGACCGACCCTATTTTAATTTTTTTCTAGACCGACCCTATTTTAATTTTTTTCTAGACCGACCCTATTTTAATTTTTTTTCTAGACCGACCCTATTTTAATTTTTTTTCTAGACCGACCTTATTTTAATTTTTTTCTAGACCGACCTTATTTTAATTTTTTTCTAGACCGAGCCCTTAAACTCAATATTACCATACCTTATTCTCCATACTTATTCTTTAAGATTGAATAAATTTTTTGTTTTTAAGATTGAATAAATTGATCACATTTTGTCATTGGTTTTTAAGTTGTCACATTTAGTCATATTTCTCGTACCCATATGAATCTAAAAAGAAAATTTTACAATATAACCTCTTTGGATTAATAGCTTTGGGATAGAAAAACTCTATTGATCAATAACAACCTAGTAGAATTCAGCAAATAGAGTTTGGAGAAGGTGGGTGTATGAAGATCTTAGGGCCTGTTTGGTGTGGAAAAAAGATATGGGTTCTGACCAGTATCAACACCCTTTTATGGTGTTTGGTGAAGCGTAAATAGGTTTCAAATTTGATATCTCTAGTTATCAAAACCCTCCTAATTGAGGGAGTTTTGTTATCTCCTCAACTGCCGACCACCCCCCTCCACCGGCTCCCTTTACTAACAAGAATCATTCGAGATCTCTCCAAATACTTTCATTTCAAATTTTGGTACTCATATCATTTCTAAAAAAAAACTCAAAAACCCATATCATATCAATCCTCAAAAACTCACCAAGCAAGGCCTTACTCTTTACCCCAAAGGTAGATTTGCTGTTTTCAAAAGACCTTATCTTAAGGGGAAAAAAAATTTTGAAAATACACATTAGTGAAGTTCAACAAATACATGGAGAGAAAACATAAATGAGAGAAGGGGAAAATAAAAGAGTAGTTACCAACAGAAATGAATTAGCAGAGATGCCTCAAAAGCAAGCACCGCACATAGAGACCTAAACACCTAGCTAACCAATTCTCAAGAGTTTACACTATAACTCTAACCGTCAACCTCCAAAGGCTCTTATCTAGGCTTATGTCCTTCATGACCTCTAATAATCTCAAATCATGTTTAATCACCTCACTCCATCTCTTATTAGGTTTATTTCTACCCCTTCGCAGATCTTCTACGACCAACCTCTCGCACCTATTCATAGGGACACTTATCTGCACGCGCCCAAACCACCTCAATATAAGTTCTCTTGGATAAGGCCATTCTGAACCATATCTCTCTAAGTGTGTCCCCTCATCCACCTAAGTATTCTCATCTCTCATCTTTGCCACCCCCATTTTTTGCACGCCGGTATTCTTCATTGTGGATTTGACATACTAGTTGAATTACTGTTGTATAAAACTTGCCTTTTGCTTAAGTGGTGCAAGTTCTTTGAACCAAACCTACAACGATAGTCTCCGTTTCATCCAACTTAGTGGCGTAGGTGAAGGGACGGGGAAAGTAGGGCATGTCCCCCCCAAGGTGATTTTGGTGAAGGTGCCACGCGCACATGCAGTGTGGATTGTAGGAGATTTAGGAAGAAATATGAAATGACTTCAATACGATGGTGCCCTCGAGAACTCAATCCTTCCTCTGCCATCGTTCCAACCCACTCAGATATGACGGATTGAGGGGTCATGGGTCACATCTCTACGGACCTTCAAGCCTCTTCGTTCCATACCTCAACACGTCTTAAAGGCTCTAACTACAGAGTGGAGCTTCAACCCTTTCCCAAGTAGTCTTTTTTTTCTTTTCATTCTTTAGAGCATTTTCCACCCCTTTTAGTTCGTGGTAAAAAACCCCTTGGCTCAACAACAACAAAATACTAGTATAATCCCGACTCTGGGGTACGGGTTGAAGATGTACACAACCTTACCACTGTAAAAAAAAAGAGAGAGGTTGTTCCCATTAGACCCTTGGGGCATTGTTGCATTTAATGCCCAAAACATCATAGAAAATGAAACGCAAGGGAAGTGAAATGTGTCGTTTTGGTTTAGTCTATTTACCGGGTGCTAAAACATTGTAAAAAAAATGATGCTCTCAGATATGATGGATTGAGGGGTCATGGGTCACATCTCTACGGACCTTCAAGCCTCTTTGTTCCATACCTCAACACGTCTTAAAGGCTCTAACTACAGAGTGGAGCTTCAACCCTTTCCCAAGTAGTCTTTTTTTTCTTTTCATTCTTTAGAACATTTTCCACCCCTTTTAGTTCGTGGTAAAAAAACCCCTTGGCTCAACAACAACAAAATACTAGTATAATCCTGACTCTGGGGTACGGGTTGAAGACGTACACAACCTTACCACTGTAAAAAAAGAGAGAGGTTGTTCCCATTAGACCCTTGGGGCATTGTTGCATTTAATGCCCAAGAACCTCATGACCCAACAACAACAACCCAGGAGAATCCCACCAGAGTAGGGTCTAGGGGGCTGTATGCAGACCTTGCCCCTACTCGAAAGCAGAGAGACTGTTTCCAAGAGACCCCCGTGGTCCATTAACCAAAATTCAATGATATTAGACCAAGATTGTTGTGATCCACATAATTATTTCATAGCTTACATTTGGATTTCCAGAGAGATTAGTGACATTAGGGAAATGAAGAATATTGTTGTTCAGTAAAAAGGGGAACCAACATTACACATGAAGTCACATAAAGGCAAACATTGTTTCTAGTGCTAGAGCCAGGATCAGTCATGTGAGATAATATTGTTGGGTAGATTAGGGTTGATTCATATTTTTGTTTTGGACAAAAAAATGCATGATTATTAGTTTAAAGAAGAACATTTAGTGTGCAGTGTTGCACATTATTCACATGTTGCATGCATGAAAATTTTCAGGGGAACCCACCAATAACCCTCTAATACCATGTTGAAAGGAGCCAGGAGGTGAAAGTGAAAGTATTTCTTGTATTCAACTAAAGAATGAATCCAATATACATGCGAACATATTTCGCTCTTCTTGAAGTTTTGATTATGGTACCTACACTTGTGATAACATGAAGCCCCATTGGAGTTCAATTTTATCTTACTACTTATGGACATGGCTGTTAGTTTCCTCTTACAATTGAATGGTCTTACCAGCTTTTGATGCCATCCTGCCTCATTTATTTTTCTTTAAAATGATATTTGGGATTGGTATTTTGTTTTTTTCATTGCCATTCATTTTACCCCTTAAGTAGTTTGTCTTTGATGAAATGATGGTCTCTTGTTTGTTTCTTAAAGAATATATTTTCCTATAGGATGTATTGTTATGCGGAGTCTATGCACGGAGAGAGGCAATGTTTGGGAATATTGATCAATCCAGGAAGATTTTTGACATGGCATTGTTATCCATTGAAGGACTTCCAGTGGTATGTTTGAACTCTAATTACCTGATTTACCTCTAATAAGCATGGTTCGGTGTATACTGCCGCCCATGCATTTCTATTGCTTCCATTGAATTGGATGTCCAAACTCAAGCAACTCTTGGCTTTGCCACATGTGATTAAAATGAAAATATAAATGATAAATAAATTTCAACGAAGCCTTAAATTCTGTTTTGTCTGAATAGTCCGCTTGTCTGGCTGCCATTTATTATTCCTGAGTCGCTTTTTTGATTGGACCAAGGTGAAGTCTCTCTCGGGTGAGCCTCTATAGGAGGATTCTGATCTTCATCTTCTTCAGATGATGAATCTGGTTCCCGAGTGGCACTTGAAGCTCCTGTCCGTTGTGCTATTTGTGCGTGTGTGTGTGTGTGTGTGCTGATGCTTTCTGAACTGAGCCTTCACTATGCTGTTTTCATTAACATCAACATGAGACAGCATAGTGATGGTCCCCCTTTAACATATTGACTTGGATTGCACGACTGGGGATATTTGATTGCCAAAAAGTTTGGGCAGATTTGAAGGAAATCCTGAGTTCTCAACGTTAGGATACATAACAGGAGTGGAAGCAGTCAATTGTTTGTTAGTTGTTCTGAACTTATTCACTGTGGTCTGTGCTTTGGGGATTGGGCATCAGAAAGGTTTTCATCATCTCATTGGGTAGTAGGATCAGTTTCATTTAAGTCATTTCCGGAGACAGAATTGGTTAGTGAGAACCCAGTTTGTGGAGGATCCTTATATCCCAAAGCAATGTTCGAAATGGTGTATTCTTGTTTTGAGGCGTTTTTTCCATGCCGTGTTGTGTGAGCCACATTTTAGAATACCAAGGTGTGCATTAAATATTATAAAAAATAAAGCAGAACTGTTCATTTGACATTGCCATTCAATGCCATATTATTACATCGCACATTGCTCGAAAACCATCCCAAGCCCCCTAACCCCGCCCTCAGACCCCCAGCCACCTTCCCAAAATGCCGATTGGGACCCAATGTAGTATCTGTAGGCTTATTAACAACAGTATCAGTTAGGTTATCATCCTGGACAGAATTGGGTAATGAGGACTCATCCTGTACCTTGTAACCCAAGTCTAAGCATTTGTAAACTTATCAACAACAGGGTCTGTTGAGTTATCAGACTGGACATGGTCCTTGTCTCCAAAAGCTGCTGAATCTGGAATCTTTACACTCTGAGAAGATCCCTTACTACCCAATGCTGAACCTGCAGAGTTGTGATTGGTAGTAGAAGGAACTATCTTTTAATTTCCTTTAGAGCCAGGATTCATAGGGTCATTTCCCGGATTAGATAAGGCAACCAATGTACTTGGGATTACATTTTCAGAGGGAAGTGGGAACTGATTGTGATGGAATCAAAATAGTTGGAACCTTAGCTTGTTCAGTAGCTGCCTGTTCTCTAGGGGCTCAAGTAGCAACCTGGTCCTCTCTAGAGTTTCCTGTCACAGCTCTAGAACCTGGAATAGAGTGACAATTACACACACAATTAAAATGATAAAAATGTCTACACAAGTTACAATTAGAGGGAAGATTCTCGTAAAAGATGGAATCAAGATATGAATGTTTACCAAAGAGGATCCTAATTTGGTCATTAATATTACTATTAATTTTTTTTGCAGAAAATGTTATTTATGTTATTACTATAATAATAATAATAATAATAATAATAATAATAATAATAATAATAATAATAATAATTAGTTTTCTACTCCCTCCATTCCAAAAAACCATTCCACTTTCAATTTCTATCCGTCCCAAAAAACACTTCAACTTTCAATTAAAGTCTCCCTTACACCCCTACAAATTATTAACATACCCATCACATCATATCTATTCACTATTAATCTATCCATCATATCCTATTATAACATACAATAAAGTAAGGGCAAAATTTGAAAGTTACACTAAAATTGCACATCCCTTAAATCCCACCTTTTTTTTGAAGTAGATAAGTTTTATGGGACGGAGGGTGTATTAGAATTCTTATTGTATTTTAGTTAATCTTCTTAGAGGGAAGTTTTTAAGTCTCTTATTGATAGTCTTATTCTCTTTTAGGTAATACCCTAATTAAGGATTCATGTTTACTAGTATCCAAGGTTGTTACCGCGACAAGGCAAGTCGAGGCGCCAATAACCTTCATATCACCTAGGTAACAATTACGCAACCTATATATGTATCCATGCTCTATATATACTTTATATGAATACTTAAGCATATTATAACCACATATTGGTATAGGTCACAGCATATTAGTGTATGTTATAAGAACGTAAGACGGTAACCCAGGATACACCATGATTGATGAAGATAACGTCTAAGAAAATAATCCCCCGAGGCCAAAGAAATGAATATATGATTGTTCTATAAGAAACCTCCCGTATCCGGGAACAGATTCCTATTGGATCAAAGGATTTTTGGATGGCAGTCAAGGATGGTCTGCTATTGAGAGACCTCCAGACTAGTGTGAATTGAAAATTAGCAGAAAGAGTTTATGGAAGGATCGCAGTTTAGGGAAAATTGGTGCCTTCTCATCTGATAGGACATCAAACAAAAATGGGTTGCAGATCCCATGGATTAATAGCTGTTATACCCGAGACCTGGGGTCTTATCACGTTGCTATTTTAGAGAAGGAATTATGGGGAGGTGAGGGGGAAATGGGGTGGCCGAAATATTATGGGACAAAAGGGGAGTTCTTTTGGTGTTTTTTTTTAAAGAAAAGAGTAAGATTAAGAGGAGAAATGGGGGGTATGAAATGGAAGAAAATCAGGGTTGGATAAACCAAGTTGGTGTTTAAAAGATATTACACACTCTTAGCCTAACTTGGGGTTTGAATCTAGAATTCAAATAAGATATTACACACTTATTTAAATATCTAGAACCTAAAACTCACACTTAAGATAACCACTCTTAAGATATAGAATTAGGAATTTGGCTAAAATAGCATCACACTATTTTATAAATACTCAAAGAGTAAAAGGAGTTTTTAATAATTCAGAGAGATGATCATTACAAGGGCCAAATGGCCGAAATATATAAGGAGGGGAGAGGAGGGAAAACACACAATATAATGAATGCAAATACAAGGAACCTTCCTACATCCCTTTATCATTCACTAGCTTCCAATCTTGAGTTGATAAGGGCTGATTTTGTTTGACTTTGTCTTGGCTTTGGAGCTGGCTTTGTCTGTCCTGTTGTGGAGGCAAAAATCACAAAGAATGAATGAAATCCTTTGATGATTGTGGTGGATATTCTGGCTAAAAAGAGGGGACAAACAAAGATGGGTGATGGATGGTGTATTG